TGGCTAAGGAGAAAAAAATAACCCAATAAGTTTATTAGCATTTGTGCGATAGCAAAAAGCCCACAGGCCAACTGCAACACTGAAGGAAAAGTATCACTTTTCCTGTCAAATGATCAATACAGAATACCACCATGAGAGAGAAGCGGAGAGCAAAATACAAAATAAAATGACGCTTCGACTGCTAAGGTGGTAGCCTCTCCCACTAACTCTCTTCTCTCCGGTCCTACTGACAAGAAAAATGCAGCGAAAAAGGTAGTTTTGCTGTAGGACCTAGCTTATAAACTAGAGCTTTTTTGCTCGAAAATTTGCATCAGAATGAGGTATACAGAAATATCCTTCGACTTAGCCGCCCCTCTGAGCCAAACCGATCTCTAAATGTAGATATTAATTTAGAAGTAAACGCCTAATCATGCAGATTTTATGACAACGCATATCATTTTTCAGTTTTTGACATTTTTTGTTGACCGAGTAGAGCTCTGAAAACAGGGTTTCATTTTAGCCATCATGTGAGTGGTTTGGTGTTTTACGCTTCAAAAACAGAGCGCAGGTTTGTGATTGCTGCGTTAGGATCAGCTCAATGCAAATATTTCCTTTAAAAGTGCATTTATTTCGAGTGTGAAATGATGCCCGACTTAACTGTCAGCCTATCTGGGTAGAAGTATGCATACCATCAACCGAGTTTAAATACCTTGACGGCATCACCCACCTGCCTGAGTCACGACCCCATAACAGTGGCTCGGGAGTGCAGTGGTTGGCTGTGCGTCAACAAAGGTACGGTCATTTAAAGTAGAAAGTTGGCACACACACACTGCCAACGGTAGTAGTAGCCGAACGACAACACCAGTTCTGAATGTGCTTTGTTTTGAAATAGAGAACGAGTAGCTACTCTGTATTTATTTGTCGTCGTCATTTAGATATTGGTAACAAATGCTCAAGTTTGTCTACGTTTTCTACAAGGTGCTGACATGCAAGCGGAAGAAACTTTGGGATTCAGAACATTTCTTGCGACTTCAAATAAACGCAAAATAATGGCTTAACCATCGTAGAAGCATTCAGTTATGCTAGACAGGAAGGATTGGTGAAATCGCGCCATATGTTAGGCCAAATATTTGTTTTGACATAAATGCGGAAAAACCAGTCGAACAAAGAATGTAACACGCTCAGACGACTTCTGCGGCTCGTATGATACTAAGCTTTGGTTGAAAAGTCAACTTTTCGAAAACTATTTAATCACCTTCCTCAGGATCGTTCATTTTGCTTCAAGCTTCTAAGCTACGGCTCGTGACTATCTAACAACAAAGCAATAAATAGCTAACATACCGGACGTTCGGCCGGTTACAGGATTCGTATCGTACAGCGAGACCGACTTCCCAAACGCCCTGGTATGTAAGATTTCTTTCCAGTTATCAACAAAAACTAAAACAGAGCAAATATGTCCGAGGTTATTTGTCATAGTTTCAGCATACTCCCATCTTCATAAACTTTGATAAGATGCAACCGTACCTGAGAGGAAGCACTGAAGCTTTCCCATGAACTCGAGAAAACCCAGCCAAGCAGTGAAAACGTAGCTTCATAGATTTCAACTTACCCAACCACTACCGTTTCCGAGCCTAAGATTGGTCACTAACTGGTAATGCAACTAACTCAGAAGGAGGCACTAGCATTGGTCAAAGTGACAGGGGACTTTATAATGACTAAGACTGTGATTTCACACAAATTTTAATCGCTGAGAAGATAAAATGGCACAATGCAAAATATTTGCGAAAGAACATGGTTTACTAGGTGGGAACTTTGCAAAACATGTCGATCCAAGGTGGGTGCGTTCGCTCGTTCATCTCCTGCCATAACACTACAGCCAGGTAGTGTAGTCCAGATTTCGGTACTAGAAGTTGTTAGAATGGTCAGAACAGCTATGTAATGTTGCAGGCACAATCGTAACCTCCCTCCTTTCCTCCTTCAAAAGTACAGCAATAATACATAGGAACTTCAGTGGTATGCCGTCCATAGATGGCACGAACCACTATGATCATAAGCAAGGTTCTAATGTTTTTACTCATTAAAAGTTTAAAATTGTGTAGTATGTCAAAGCGGTTCGATGAGGCATTTATTGGACAGCTTACCAAGCACTTAAACGCCAAGGCGACTGTCACAGTTGTCTGGAAAGTCTGGTAATCGAATGCTCTACAACTAGGGGGAAACTATGAAAGTGATTTACCTTTTGACATACTACAAGGCTATTTTCCAAGGCCCATAAGGCCCACAATCGCATAAAAAGTAGAGATTAAAAAAGTATTACTCTACTTACACAAGAAAGCCACATTAATTCACCTGTTTATGCTCTTTCAATGGACGATAATAAAAAAATTATATACGATTTCCTGATTTAGACAACTGCAGGGCCGTTGCCATAGCTTCACACGGAGAGTGAGATTAGGAAACTTCTGTAA